AGGTTTTTCACGTCTCTGGACGAACTCCCGGACAAAATGTCACGAAAAATTATATGTCCGGGAGTCAAGATAGAGGAAGATAATTTACCGAAATCACGGGAGAATGTAAATTCAGTCTAATCAAAGAGTGTAGATAGTCTTCCTTTTGATCACACAGTATACAATCGACGTGACACTTAGGTTTTTCCCCGTCTCTGGACGCGGACTGCCGGACAGAATGTACATTTGAAAACTCCCGCTCATTTATAGTGCATCAAAGACTTTGAGCGGGAGCTCGAGCGGATCGTCCCGCTCTGAGTGACAAGTAACCAAAGGTGCCCGAAATAAAAAGTTGTAATATTAATCGAAATCTTTTTTAGATTTTTAATAACGTTATAATAGTCTTTCCTTACTTAGATACTGTTTTGGGGATTTTTTCTATACTACCGCTCATTTAGCTGTATGGGTTTCCTGTGTACCGTGTAGACTGAGATCCATAACATGTCCACAGGAGCAAGCAGAGTTCGAAGGATCTTGAATCCAAGGTTATATTTCTCGGTTAAACAAATATCTAGTAGGAGTTTTACAAACTATATAACATTAGGAATGAGTAAAGCTAACGTAGATCACGACGTTGGTGCAAACGCTTTTGTTATACACTTAGGAAAAGGTAAGGTGGTTTAATAATGAAAACTTATAAGTAACTTAACTTATCTTAATTTTATGTCAAAGGAACTTTAAGTATTAAATCTCTTGTTTATCTTGAGGGTTTTCAATGTCTTTTGTAATTATTTGAACTGTTTAGACGGTAAAGAAAAGGCTCTACTTGAATATGTAAAAGAAGGAGACGTTTTGAACTTGTGGCACACTGAGGTTCCAGTGAACCATCGTCGACAGGGATTAGGGGCCCATCTAGCAAAGGTAGAATACACAAATATTACTATTTGTATTGTATTTGTATTGCAAAAAAGAGTGTAACTCTCTTTCACTCCCATCCCGGCTACACCATCCTTTCCCATCCATTAAACTTGTTTTTCATCAACCTGTGGCATATTTCATTTAATTTTTGATCATATGCAGGCTGCACTTGACCATGCAGTGGAAAAGAATTACCAAGTGAAACCAACCTGTACATATATACAGAAATACCTCAAAGACAACCCTCTTGCAGAATACACAGAACGAGTGATTCCTATTGATTGACCTACAAGAAGAAATTATTGTCATGCTTTTCAAGGCAGTGAATGAGAAAGACTCAAGAKTAATGTTCTTTTTCATGCACCATATGCTGGGCTCGGCTTCTAAATTGATACAGCTTTTGGTGCATGAAGGAGTACAAAAATCTATGTATTGGTATATAATACATATGGTTTTCTATATTGTTCATGAAATTTGATCAAACTGATTGTAAAGTGCAAAAAAATACTATGATTTTTGAAAATAAAAAAATATATTTTGAATCCACTCAGCCTCAACTGCAAGCTTTTTATTTGCTTGCTTSTGACTTTATTATTTTGTGGAGTCCCTGTGTCAAAAAAGGGCTCATGGGGGCTTTCGTGGAACGCCTGGGAGAGTTCTACCTGTCACTTTGCAAAAATGGCGGCTTCTGAAAATAATGGTAGTGATGAAGATYTGGAGACGGATGCTCCTGTTACCCATACAAAGGAGCATTTCTCTGAGGTTCAAGAAGTAACAAGTATTATATCATCTATTGAGCCAATTTGCGACYAAGAAATTCTACTAGAAGCTGCGGCGGAAAGGCTATTAGGTGAGTGAGCAACTCCCTAAGTACTGGGGATGTACTTATGTTTTGATGTGCTTTGCAAACTCGTCAGGCCTTTGTTTGTAGCGTAATTATATGATGGTAGCCTCCAGTATCTATTGATCTGGTCAACAATATTAATTTTTGTTCAATCTGATCAGAATTATAGCGAAAATATGACAGGTTTCTCCTGATGGTACCTTAATTGACTTAGCTACGTTTGTTTACTACTTCGCTTATCGACGCTGGACACATTTTATAGATATTAACAGTTAATATACTATATTAACAGTTGATACTTTCAAGAGAGAAAATAACAGTATTTATCATGCTACGGACTCGAAAACTGTAGAATGTTGTCGAGACTTTGTCTTTTTGTACACATTCATGACGTCATTTCTTGTTTTTCGCGTTTGCAAAAACTTTCAATATACATTAGAACGCACGCTGTGCGCAGAAGACAGATAAAAAACAGTCTATTAGTGCTGTATGAATTATGGGCAAATTTCAAATCACATCAAATTAAAGTAGATATCATAGACTATATGAGTAATCTTTTTTTGTAAAGGTGTGGTCCATTATTTTCTATTATCATCTTATTCTATTGTTTTTTAGTCATTCTAGACCAATACCAAGAACAACCTCATCTTCTTGATCCCTACTTAGGTAAGTCTAGATCGTATTAAGTGTATTGTGTGCATGCAATGTTGGATGGCTAGATTGAATTTTCTGCAATGAAATATTCATTTTTTTTTGTAGAAAATCTTGTGTCAAAACTTCTAAGCACAGTTATGAATCCTGCCTATCCACCAAGAATGATTCACCAAGCTTTCAAGTATATCTATTATTTCTCTAAGGTTTGTTTTSTAATCAGCTACATTATTACATGATACTTCATGATACTGTACATACCCTCCATGTAATATCGCTTAAGAGTAARGCATTGATTGTAGACATTTATTGAGCAATCTGTGAYCGAGGTGACAATATGGTATGGGTAATGTGTGAACAAGGTAAAATCAAAGTGCAGAGAACAGTTTTTTCCCCAAACAAAATAACACATTGTTTCAGGCAGTACCTGTAGCTTTTATAATTCCAGAGTRATTCCATGTCATTGTTTGGTTCTGTTATTTAAGGTAAGAGGTCCAAAGTATATAGTTCGTCTGTTCACTCATGAAGTCTCTGATATTGAACCTTTACTGACGATGCTCAAGCAACAAGACATTAAAGACCACCAAGTAAGAGATAATATTATAAAGGTTGACATATAAGGTRCATACAGTGAAGTGTTGTGTTATTTCAGACATGGGAGACACGCTATGTTCTGCTACTATGGCTCTCTATTGCTTGCATGATACCCTTTGATATGTCCAGACTTGATGGTACATTTGGATCTGGAAAGGGTGAAAGAAGACYACCAGTGGTTGATAGAATTATGAATGCTGCTAAGGTAAAAACTTGGTCAGTATTATAAAGATACATTGTTACTGTGGATTGGATGAATGGATAGATAAACAAGAAGTTTAATCAGTTTATTGAAACCCAAAGTAACAATGCCTCTCAGCCAAATATCCTATACAAAAAGCATAAACATTATTTAATGGTATGCAAATGGTACTACCTGGATAATTATAAGTTTCTCAATGGATCTTTGCAGGATTATTTATGTGTCCCTGATAAATCAAGAGATGCTGCTGCATTACTGCTTGCAAAGTAAGGCATTTCAAACCATAAACTTCCATTTAATCAATACTAATAAAATACGAGAATAATAGAGTGAGAATTTAAGCAATTAACAAGGAAGAAACAAGAAGTGACAGGTACTAGAAAAGGAGGGAATTAAAAAATAATTYTWAATGGTTTTTAAATTTATTRCAAGGTTTGTCACAAGACCAGATGTCAAGAGGCAGAAGCTRGCTGAGTTCATAGATTGGTGTTTATGCAGCATCAATGATGCCCAAGGTARGTTTTACATGTACAGTACAATAACAGTATAATTAGCAAAAGTTGCAAAATCAATTCATTTTAAAAAACCAATAATCATTATTATTTTAGGCTCAACAATGACAGGAATGCTTACTTTGACTGGTGTTCTAGCTACTTTGGTATGATTGATTGTATGCCACTACGATAAATAATTGTGTAAATTATGATAAAATGTTATTATGTGGCTGCCTAAAAGATGTAAGGCTAATTATTTATCATGTTGTATTCAAATACAACAGGCTGGCTTATTGGTAATAATACAATATATTTATTATWAGGATGTTTCATTATTTGCAGAGTAAGAATCCGTTTTGTCAATAGCWTACCAAGTATCTATCTCTTGTGTTTCTTACAGGCTCTGATATTCAAACATGGAAAAAGAGATGATCTTATGCCATATGGTAAAATCAATCTGTCATTTTTAATGCAATTTATGTGRGATTCCTRTGTCCTCTATTGTTTCATGCATTTRTAGAAAAARATTTCACATATTTGATAATGTTTTTATGAATTAAGTAAATGTTTTGCTCTGTGCAGCCCCTGTTGTGCTCAAACAGATTGGCAAGTGTGAGATAACACAGATSAATAACACAGTACTGAGAAAGCTGAATATAAAACTCATTCAGGTAATGTTACTTATTGATTGGTTTCAATAATCATGTAAGGTATAACTCCTCATAATTCTTATAATAATTTTGTTTTGATTGACAGCGTCTTGGTCTTACCTTTCTGAAACCTCGCATTGCATCATGGAGGTAAAGGTGACTAGTTCCTATGTCAGAGAGTTGTTGGTAAATCGATGATTTCATTTTGAAAAATTTGAAAAAGACAATGTGATTCATGTTTAGGTACCAGAGAGGGAGTAGGTCTTTGGCTGTAAATTTAGAAAAGCAAAATAATACACTAGAGGTGAGAAATGTTACTTGTTTACAAAATAATAACATAATATTAAAATACTTCTCTTTTATTTTTCAGAAAAATAAAGGTGTAGAAAACTCTAAAAAAGATGATGAAGAAGAATACGATATTCCTGAAGAACTTGAAGATATAATAGGTAATATTAATAACTGACCCTAGCTCCATCCTACTACTGTGATCAACATAGATTTTACTGAACATTCTGTCTTATAATTTCCATCTTTGGTAAACACTCTGACAGACTGTCCGTTTTTCAACATATCATGCACTGTAAAATATAATGTTTTCCTCTCATTTTCAGAGCAATTGTTACTTGGACTTAAAGACAAAGATACAGTAGTGCGATGGTCTGCTGCTAAAGGGTAAGAAYAATTCTCAATAATGTTAATGTTAATAATATAGCTAAACAATAATTTGAAAATGATGTACATAGACAAAAAACACCTTGTATTGTAACTGGGGAATTCTAAGCTTGCTGTTATTTTTTATGTTCAGAGTTGGTCGTATTACTGGAAGACTACCAAAGGATCTTGCAGATGAAGTTGTTGAAGGTGTGCTTGAATTATTTAGATTTACCGAAACAGATGGATCTTGGCATGGAGGTAACTAAATTATAAATTATGCTGCCTTTCAAATCGCATTTCTTTCAAATTATGTTGTATTACAGGTTGCTTAGCGCTAGCAGAACTTGGTCGACGAGGTCTTCTTTTACCTCAGAGGCTACCTGAAGGTATATTTATTACAATCATGATCAWTTTCATTGATATGATTCATTTGATGATGTTAGACACTCATGTTGAGTTATATATTGAKTAGTTGTCCCTGTGGTCCTGAAAGCCCTGTCGTATGATGATAGGAGGGGTTCTTACAGRGTAGGTAGGTGTTATTAATAGAGTTTAAGCATCACGTTTACGGCAAACAGCTAACCTCATAGCTGAACCAATGACCTGATAATTTCAATTTTGTGCGTTTTGTAGTCATTTGAATGAGTGACTTTTCACAACTATAAAATAACCCACTCTCACGTCGAAACTGTAACGGTAAACCCTCAAAAAGCAGGTCACATGATTTTTTCTGCRGTTAGCAGCAGTTAGCCTTGAATGTCTTGCTTTTAGTTTCAAGAATGTGTTTCAATATTTTCAATGTGAGAAATCCAAAAAGTTAATTCATTAGTCAGGGTATAATTATGATTATTTCAGGGAGTCATGTTCGTGATGGTGCATGTTATGTCTGTTGGTCATTTGCTCGTGCATATGACCCTAAAGAAATTACTCCACATGTCAATCAGCTAGCAAGGTAAGTTGATACTAATTAAGAGAGTATAGATTTGAAAGTTTTGTTATGATTTTACTATTAATTGTCTGTGTAGTGCCCTGATTATTGCAGCTTTATTTGATCGGGAAGTCAACTGTAGAAGAGCAGCATCAGTAAGTATTACTATAAGAAAAAATTTTTCATTGGAGTTGCGGGCTGTTATTATTCCTTCCTTCTCTGTTATTATTCCCCATCTAGATATTATTTATTCCTTAGCTTTATGCTATTATTTGAAGATAATTTTACTCGCTTATTTCATTTTTAAGGCTTCATTRCAAGAGAATGTTGGACGCCTGGTAAGGCATTATAATTTMACTCTAATAATGTTGTTGATCTATATCTATAAGCATTAATAGGCTTTTTGTATCATGTTTTTAGGGGACATTTCCACATGGCATTGATATTTTGACTGCTGCAGATTACCATGCAGTTGGAAACAGAACAAARACATATTTGAACCTCAGGTAAATTGCTTTTTTTATCATTTTATGGTGTCTTTGAAGTTATTGTTGAAAGTTTTTAGTGACCTATCCATGATGACTATAGAAACAAAAAGTTACATTTGTGGTCCATCRCTGKTTCGATCTCTYTTCAATTTTCAGCAAAGGCATCATGTTTTTMCTACAAGGCTAGGTTGTCTCCCTTGTTTCAAGGGTTTTCTTCATGATGCATTGTCTCAACCCAGATATCTTGTTTRTCCTTGTGTTCATTTAGTGTGTTTGTTGCAAAGTTTGAGGTGTACACAAAATCAATGATTGACAATCTTGTGTACCAAAAACTCCAGCATTGGGATGGGTGAGTTATCAATATTTGATGTTCTTAATACTTGGAGGACATAACCTTGAARTGATAAGTAGTAATAACAATTCACATTTTTTTTGTTTGGATGTAAATTTTCTGCATCTTTTTATGTTCTTTGAAATCTTTATTTCTACTTACAGAGCTATCAGAGAACTTGCAGCTAAAGCTTTYCAWAATCTTACTCCTTTTGACCCAGAATACATGGCTGACACTGGTAGGGTTTGTTAATTGGTTACATCTCATGAAATGTTTCTAATGTTAGTGTTTTTTGTTGTTGTTGTTTTTCAGTTCTTCCTAAAGTCCTGTCCATGACAAGTAGTATTGATTTATTCACACGTCATGGTAGCATACTGTTGTTGTTGTTGTTGTTTTTCAGTTCTTCCTAAAGTCCTGTCCATGACAAGTAGTATTGATTTATTCACACGTCATGGTAGCATACTTGCTTGTGCTGAAATAATCCATGCTCTTTATCTGTATGGAATTGCCAATCAAAAGTAGGTAGTTATTAATATATTGTAGTTGATGAATAAAGTCATTATCATAAATGCTTTTCAGTTCTTTTGGATGTTTTGATTCTGTTTTGCTCTAAACAGCTGCTTTTTTCATTTGTTTATTTGATCTTAATTCAGTACATTTTATTTTTTTCAGAACAATCAATGATTTAGTACCTGAGTCAGTAATGAATGATTTGAAAAATATTGTACCTAAAGTAAGTCTTTTTTCATCCATTTATTCATTTTCCCATTCCCATTTATTTCCCATTATTTTTTCAGTTGCACTTTCATTAATTTAGTGCTTAGTCTTTTCTCCTTTTTTAATAATTTCTTAATTTCATTTTTTTTTCAGCTACATTCAGCAAAACAGTTCAGGTATAAAAAAAACTAGACATTTGAATTAAATAAATAACATTGTACTCAGTAATGGTACATGAATATTTTATCATAGTTTTAAAATTGATATATTTTGTTTACAGGGGCATGGGTGGCGAATACATGAGAAATGGAGGTAATACTTTAAGATATATTTCCATGTTATCAAGTTTTCTTATTTATACCTTGACAGTACTCTACACTCCTACCTTAACCTTTGCCCAAAAATACAGAAGTATGCACATGCCTGAATAGAGTGCTATTTTTTTTTTTTTTTTTTTTTTTTTTTTGTAGTTGCTCATTTAATTAAGAAGCTATCAATCTCACATATTCCTTGGCACAGTGATCCTGTTTTGGGTAAGGTTTTTTGTGCATTTTAGTGACTTACACCTGAMATATCACTGAAAATAAATGAAATTTCATGAATTTGTGATCACCTCATTTTATATTCTTGTTAGAAATTTGGCAGGAAGTTCTTGATGACAGTTTATCCCACACAGAACCAGTTATTCAGGTACGTCTTTCAAAATGTAGCTCAAGCACGATGATATTAGATATGATATTTTACAATAGACTATACAATACCACTTATATTCAAGGCTACTGCTGTAGATGGATTGAGTGCAATGTTTTCTGAGTATTATAAAGATTCTGATGGCAAACCTGTCATGCAAGGTAGGTGATGATTATGGAAACACAGAATACAGTGCAAGTAACTTTAATTTAGTATATCCTCTGGTTTTACTTTTTCAGATAAGATTATTAACCAGTATATAAGTCAGCTTGGTAGTGCATCGCAGTTTACCAGGTAATACCAGTAAAGCTAACAAAAAATTCAAAGTATATCAAAAATTTCAGATAAGACTGTCTTGATAGGTATAAATCCAATAAGTTTATTTTAATGGTTTGATTATTAAGATCTTTTGTTATTGTGTCTTTAGGYCAGGGTTTTCAATGGCATTTGGTATTCTTCCTAAGTTTATGCTAAGAGGAAAGCTAATGCAAGTAAGGAAAAGCAAATGTCAAAAGAATGTTATTTAGTCAATAACTGTTGTTCAATTTTCAAATAACCTTTTCAACTTTTCTTTGAGGTAATTGAGGGTCTTTGTAAAGCCTCTCAAGTTGGTACAGACTCTGGAATATTCGCTGAGTCAAGAAGAGAAGCACTTTTATCACTGGGCAGGTATGAAAGTCACTGTCACATGATATTTGTTAACCTTGAAACCCTGTCGATACTAATCTTTCTACATCTAAACGCACAACATCCACAGTAAGGCCTTTRGTTGTTTMCCTTGWTATTGCATGTTTATAGTTTGGACATTCTAGTTTGGWCCAGGCAACACTGKTTTSRTTTTCCRCATCATTCATGAATTGTCTTGAATTAGCTCACTTTTGTCTTGTAGCATTGRATGTACTGTTGGTATAAATAAAGATGGCGATCGTAATGATACAATAACACAGACAAGTTTAGGTCAAGTATACAAGGCCTTCCTTGATGCCATGAATGARTACACTACTGATAGCAGAGGAGATGTWGGAGCTTGGTGAGGATTTCTACAGCTGTRTTGTGCATATTTGCTGAAYAAGGCATGAYTAATTGTWTMTWTTTTTTAATTGTTAGGGCAAGAGAAGCTAGRATGACTGGGCTGGAGAAYSTCACTRTACTTGCTGTYAACACAGACCCAASKTTGCTGCAAAGTGAAATGCAAGTATTGATGATAGAATTGGCATTTCCTCTGCATATTATATGATAAATTATTCTCTTCCTCAGAATTGAGCAAATGATGCAAAGTCTTGCTCAACAAGCATCYGAGAAGATTGACAGAACAAGGGCACACGCTGGTGGAATATTTGCTAAATTAATTCAYTATAAAAAGTAAGTTTTACTATATTATAGGAATATAAGTGAATCAAAATCAATTTAATTGCAACTCCACTTATTCATGTTTTGGTCCTTTTCAGTCCTGTCATTCCTTACATTCCTCACCATGAAGAACTWCGAAAGTGAGTACACAAAAAACATTGTTTACCTATTTATTTTACAATGTAATGACGTTGAATAATTGATGATCAATTTTGTTTATCTTTGTCAGTGATGACTGTTCAGATGTCAATTTTGCTGTCCCATCAGAGTGTTTTCCTTACGTTACAAAGCTTCTRGGTCTTGAGAAGTTTCGCTATCCTGTCTTAGTTGGGCTGACAGTCAGTGTTGGTGGCCTGACAGAATCACTGGTAAGGTTCATTTATAGCTTGAGAAATAACCTTACGATGTACAATCAAGTGTGGTACAGTATTTTGTATTTAATATGAAATGCTGTGAAACAATGAGGTATGCTACCTTTTTGCATCCTCTGAAGGTTTTTATGTATAGGTAATAGTTTTTGTTTAAATAGAATATTTTCAATGCTCTGCTGTATTGTAATTACTTTTATGTCTTATTTCAGGTCCGCCATTCATCCACATCTCTTTTAAGTTTTCTCAAAACCATCACTTCTAAGTAAGTAAGAAAGGATTTGTACAGCTACACAATGCTCTATCATTTTCTTGTGATTTTTATGTCTAATCATGATGATTGTTTTAATATTCTTTATGTTTTGATAGTAAACAAGAATTAAATYTATTTGCTAATACAACTCTAGAAGTATATGAAAATCACAGAAAGAATGACAGGTAAGTACAAATTCATTTTGTTTATTTTRAAAATATTTATCTTTATATATTTGCATGTGTTTTCTGTTTTGAGAAGGTTGTCATTTTCATTGACAAAAGTTTTGTTTGTTTTAGTTAGTGCTGTTTTACAGGAATTTTAGACATGTGTGTGCAGTTGATGTTCACCAGTATTTAAATTGTGTAAATTAATGTAAATCTGACATTGTTATGAGTGATTTAACCCCCCTTTTTTTTTCTCAGAGTAATCATCCCGTTGTTCAAGATGCTTGATCTGTTATTGTCAAACAACTGCTTTGAGRTATTCATGAGTAATGAAGAGTAAGTAACTAAACAGTGACAAAATAGTYAGCACAATCAAGCTGGAATCTTGTTGCCTGTATGCAGCAAAAACAAAATTGTTGTTGCATGCAGGTTACCATCCTGAGAACTTCTCAGGAATACTCTGTAAAAATAAAAAAATGAATTGTATTTTTGCTTTTAGTCACGTCTTTCCTCAAAGACTTGTWGCTCTTACCAAAGAAGAAATCAGGCGTATTGGTGACCCTAGAAAAATTATTGCAAGTATCAATGTGTAAGTTAATGAGATCTCAATTAAGATGTTTACATTTTGTGCTGTAGAAGCGGCCCAATGAGTGACAATGACTAATGTGAAATTAGTGGAGTAGTTTCTACACTGCTTTTAACTTTAGATTTGATCTCAATTGTAGTTTTTGTCAGCTGCTGCAGTTCCCAGGAAAGACCAGGAAACAGTCATTACAGCATCTCAACATTTTACTTTGTCATCAATTTCCAAGGGTACCATTTTAAAATCAATATCTTAGTATATTACATCCTTTGACTCCTCATTTATCTCACTAAATAATGTTGCTGTAAATTTTAGATTCGCAAGACTACAGCAGATCAGCTCTATACAACATTACTAATGTTTGATGATGTTGTGCCTGAAGATAAACTTGATGATATAATGATGATACTTAGCGAGACAATGTGGTATGTATGATATTTATATATATCAAATATATTTTTTATTATAATGTATAAAATCTGTTTTTTCTTTCTAGGGACTTAGAAATCGAAAATGCTAGAAACGAGAGAAACAAAATKTGRGATTTGCTTGGAATTCCTAAGCCAGTGCTTAAGGTAGAACCTGAGAGATCACTTTATATTTTTCTATTTTTACTTAATTTATGAAAAATTCCTCAATTRCTTTAGTCAAAGACAAAGCAAGACAAGCAGCCAGAGAAGCCACAAGATGCATTAGACAGCTATAAAGGTAATGTAATGRGTTTGYTTTAACTTTTCAGCCYAACCTACTCAGTGTTTCTYATATCATATTCTCTCCTCTAGATCTTGTGGCYCGCTCTGACTATTAGAGATCACTGGAATGGAAKWAATCTATTTTCTTGTAAAAGGTTGCAAGTTGAGTGACTGCTGTTCAGCCCCASAATACAACAGTAGAACTTTAAGAATAACAGTCATGTATAGTGTAGAATTWACAATTCAAATATACAATTGTTTTTTATTTATTATCAAAATATATATACCAATGTTTAAATAAAAATATGAAAGTGCAATGAATTGATGTTTTTCTTGAGCTGTTATGCACTAGTTTCTTGAATATGACGGGATAAAAGTCCATCATTACTGTATGACTATGTTGACTGAAATTGTGCTGTATTGCTTCTGTCATCRTATTCAATTTTCTTTGTCATCTGACATTACACAATATTTTGACATCAATGCARGTGCTGTTTCAATGACATCATTGCCCAAGTCTAAGTACATGTAATTTCCCAGATGAACTGAGGGAARATCATCTCTTTTAGGTGCTGTATCCCTACAAACACCCATTRTTATATAGAATGGAAGGACTTTATTAGCACATCCACCCACAATCCTRATTATTTCAAGCTCTTGGGCTACCAAAACTGCATAGCCGCACATGGCCTTGCCCAATCCCCGGCCTCTGAAGCTTGGTTTAACTAATAGGCTTGACATGTACCCRTCATATCCTGGGRTATGTTCAGTAAGGTCAAATGTGTGGTCAATTATTCCAYGACTATCCAGGAAGTCAGGTTTTAGTCCTGCAAGTTTTGCACTATTTTTTACTGCAAGCAAAGGAACTCCATTTTGAAGCATTTTCACGTACTTGGAGTAACTTTTGGAGTTCGAATTATTGCTAATGGACAAACAAACGTGTGCGACGACTTCATCATTTGTCGTATATGCTACAAGATGACAAGGAAACTTGTCACTGGATTCATACAAGCTTGCTGTRCTGACAAAATTTCTCTCAGGTTCGCCATGATTTCCTTCAGGCGATGGCCATTCCTGTAAGAGCATAGCAGCAGTTTCATTGATGAGTMTCGGATACTTGTGCAARTTCTGGAAATGGACATTTAAAGTTGTTTTCATGTGGTATGATTGCCACAACAGTTCACAAACGAAAAGAACCGCYAGAGAAATGCCACAGTAAGSACTGACTACAGATYCTCCAACAATAGCACAAGATAAACAGACAAACACTAGCTCAGACTTTGCAAAACCCATGATGATAATTTCTAGCCTGCTATAACTGTTACGATTTGAACTTGCACTCCCACTCCTTATATAAATGTTTACAGACACTCGTATTAAGTTCGGAATTTTTCCGGAGAGTCTTCGGAAGTTGGCATGTCAGCGGTTATTAAATTTCCAATATGGCAGCTTACGGATGTGTAATAACTTCAATATGCGGTTTGAAAATACTTCCAAAAGGATCATACTTTAACCGACTTTCAAGAATATGCAACAGATATCAGAAGGTTTATAGGTGAGTTTATACTAGTGATAAAGTTATGGCTGAAATTATCCAGTATTTTCGTRAAGCCAGCTAGAGGTGCAGGTCTCCTGATGAACACCACATGTACATCACAAAGMAGACTAGAAAATGCAGGAGACGTTATTGAAMGGTYCAATATCTCAGGAAGGGTTGCATACTCTTTGRACCCTCTTTAATAGTTGGACCTGCAACTGCTTGTCATCCTAGACAGAATTAAATAGCTAAGTGTATTATTAGAATTAAATGTCATTAATGGATATTTTGTTTGTTCATCTTATGAATCAGGCTACCTACTGGTCATCCATTTTCTACYACAACAAGAGGTCATTTCCAAAAGATAACTAAAGATGAACCGTTTGCTTTCTCAAAATCAAAAGCTAGAAGCCACACAYTTYARGAAAGTTTGGGAATTTCACAGCCAAGATCATCAAATTTTCCATTATATCTTGGAATTGGACTTTTTGGTATACTTATTTATGTGAGCTTTTTCAGACAGGAATCAAAAGAAAGTATACAGACACTGGAAGAYGTCTTTGAAAAATTGAGGACACTGCAGGAGGAAAATCAGACTAAAAATCAGCTTGATAATACACCAGATACTAGTAACATGAATAATGAAATAAATAGCACTAAAAACTAATGTTAGGTAAATTGCAACTAGATTCAGTAGAGTGCTTGCACTAAATGTGTGAAATATAAATACTACAAAATAGGTGATAAATTATACAAATTCCTTTGTTTCSTATTGTATAATCAASACTATTTAGTAGTAATTKGTARTATTTGTTTCACGCTTTAAGTGCGAGCACTCTAAGGGTAAATCTTAAAAAAATCAATATTCAACGCCATTATCACTATATCAGGCTGTAAACTAGCAATCTGAATTAAAAATGTCTACCAACATTCTTAGTATATATCAGGAAGGTTCATTTATAGCTATATGTCATTATGAACCTCATCATTTTTTATTTTGTTTTACTTTTTATTTTATTTTGTTTTATTTATTTGTTTATTTTTTTGTATCTAAAAAATTCCCCTACTTGAAAAAGACCTTAGTAAAACTATTTTGTGGCGGCGATTCGAATAGCTAGTACATTTACCGCCCGTGTACATTTGACAATCACAAKCGTTTCCGTAACTATTTTTGGCGGCCGTGTTTGAAGATCGCCCGCATCCTTGGCTCTGATTGGTAGTTTCTTGTTGACGTCAAGGKTCGTTGACTCCGCCATCTTGGAGTAATCAGGCGGTTGCGTCTGCAAGCGAACTCAAACTTTATGTTTTCAAATAACATTTGCAGTAAAATGGATATAGCAAAGTTTGTTTTCTCACACAAGGATAAACATGTACATGAAGGATACAGTGGTTCTGGGATAAAAGGTTAGTTTAGGGGCTCTATGGAATGATTATTCTAGAGCGTCTTCCGTTGAACACGAGAACCGGCCGTGAATCATATGGTCGAGTATAAATAAATCATAAGCCATTTCAAAGAATCTTATACGAGTTTTTTCTTCAACGAAAACASATATTTAACAATTTTAGATGAGGTATATTCCATAATTATGTGTAAAAGAGTATTTTTATTGGAATATTTTTCGCTTGACATTCGCTTGGGTTGACGTTGCTTTGAATAAATTAGCGTAAGACAGTTTTGATTTCTTTCCCTGTTGAACGCWGCTACATTTCACCTCACAACGATTTACTCGAAACGTTTGGCATATTTTGAATTTCTGTGCATATTTTTTTACGTTTTCGATGATAATAGGCTGTGGCTATGGCAATATATCGATATCATTTGACAKTACTTTGGGCTGTTGAATATTTCTTTGTTGGAAAGACAATGTTTATTGTTTTTGTTCAATCCTGCGCGAATTAAATCATTTATATGACATTTTTTATCATAATTACTCCCCATCTGTCACAAACTGTTTACTTCAATTTATAAGAACTGTTTGAAATTCCACAATTAGTGCCATTTGTCTTGAAAATATGCAAATGAAACTACTAAGCTTATTTTTRCCTCAAGAGGTCGTAAATGAAAGTGGCCTTTGTGTGGGTGTCCTGATTGACTTTCAATCAACCTTTGCTTCTTCCTATTATTACTTTTATCTGTTCACATTTTTTCGAGAAACATCTGTCTTCTACATGGAGCAGGATGGGGAAAYAGGGATGCATTTTTATTTATTATCAAAGAGCCAAAATGCATTTCTGCCCTACAGTTATAACAAGCAATTGGCATCACCTAAATTATTTTATAGAGTCATTYCACTTTTCAAACCTGTGAAATACTAACTAATTGTTAGCATACAATATACTTCAATCAATCAAAGGAGATCAGTCAAATTAAGGCCATAAAATTAATCACCATCATCTTGAATCATCTCCSCTTGAGGCCTAAAATTAATGGTCAACTAAATCTTTTTTAAAAATCTATCAATATAATATGATATTAGAATACAGGTTAATTCCTATACACACTCCGTTTGGTTCAAAATTATGCTGCATTTTATTACAAATTGTAAATAGATACTTCTTTGTTTAACTATAAAATGAATTTGTTGTTGGTAAAACAAACCATGTGAGCATGTCAAAACTAAACCAAAKGACCAAGAGGTTTTGTTTGCTAATACATCTGACATACTTCTTTCAAAAATAAACCATGGCAATCCATTTATTGACAGTTTGATATGATATGATAATAATAATGTAATATGATATTCTAAAATATTACATGTATGATTTGTATGATTTTCTGCTCAAGATGTTTACATTCAAAATGGAATTCTAAATGACTRATACAGATGCTGGGTATTTCCTTCCTTGAAATAATTGTGTATTGTACAGCAAATTTCAAAAAGATGGCTTAATTGGGAAGGACCTTTTACCTGTAGCAAACAATTTGCATAAAACATTTTCAATTCTCTGTCCTTGATCTTTCAAGCAAATATTCTTAAGCTCACATTAATTCTTTTGGGATAAGCTATATTATTATTCATGTTTCTTTTGGCATGTCCTGCCCTCTATTGTAAACATACTGTTTTTATTGTCCAGCCAGGGAACMTAGGCCAATACAAAATAAACTCAAAAAGCATTGATGTGTACTGACTTTTACTTACTGCTTAATACTTGCAATACAAGCAAAACCATGATGCTGTACACTTTYAAGTCCCCCATTTACATGATAATGACATACTTAACTGATTTAATTTATTATCAGCTCTGTCTATTGTTTGAGACAATAGCATGTATAAATTAATTTAATAAACTAATATTTTTGAAATGGTTTTCCACAGACAATATAATTAAACATAGAAAAATAGGGCTTAATTACCTGTAAGAATTAACTGTATTGTTTCTTGTTTAAGCTTGGATAATTACCATTCAAAATTATCATTTCCTGTTGGTAATGCTTCCCTTTTCCTTTTGACAAAAGATTTTCTATCAATTAATTGACATGTATTTGTAATTGTCACAAAAGTAGGTTAGTGTAGCAYTTGTAGACCAAATCATTTCCTTGCTGATTTGCATGAAAAGAGTAGAGTAAATACAGCTCATTGATGCAGAAAATATATTCAGGTCTACGCATTCTTCTTGACTGGGTACCGTTGCCCTGTGAATGAAATGAAATCTTTCATATTTTCTGGCCATTTATTGCTTTGTTGTGGAACAAAAAGTGTCTTTAAAGCCATGCTGGCAATCCTGATCAATTTCATTCTCCTCTAGAGGTTCTTAAATTCAAGTTTAGTTGGTTATTTTACAATGACATTGTGTTGGCGGCTATGTTTGTATGTGCTTAGCTGTTTTCACAAGAGATGTTTTGTTTAAAGAGAAAAGATGAAGCTAACTGTGGTAAGGACTGACACATCACAGCTTATATCCAAACATTATTTGATCTAATGGGTTGACTAACCCTACAAGAAAATTTACTTTTTAAGTCTTGTGACTTATCAGCACAAAATAGTGTTTTAGTTTGTCATCAAAATGGTTCTTAACACATGAAGCTTATTMTAGATTATATCCACAAAAAAGTTAAAATTTCTAGGATTATTTTGGGACTTTTGTAAGAAATTAATTAGCCTGATGGTTCTCATGAGGTTTATTCAAAATGGCCGGTCAGTACATGTATCATTTATGTCCAACTCAGCTGGGAGAATTGTTATGGCGTTATAGCTTGAAGTTCCACATAAGTGCATTTGACTGTAAGGTCAAATGTAGGCGATGTATCAGTTATGTTATCAGTAGGTTGATGATTCTTATTATATTAGTTYCTTGATAAAATATTACTTCTTATATAATATTCTACAGTTTTTACTATWTTTATTTCTACACTTTTTACTATTTGTTATGCATATTCTCACAAGTATATTAAACTAAGTAGATCCTCTTTACTATAATTATTATTTTCATAATTGAATTTTAAATCCTAGGTCTTTTATTTCTTGATTTCAACACCATAAATAGTGTCATTTCAAGTAGTGTCATTTAATTACAAGATCTGATCTGTGATCCTTGAATTTCAGTGSTAACATTTACACTATTTTCTTATTTAAAAAAATAATTTATATAAGTTATATTGTTTTAATTTTTTAGCACCTACGCTAAGTGAAGATGAGGATGATGGAAATGAAGACACATTGGCCTGGGATGATTCAGCTATACCAGTTGGAGGTGGTAGCACTCCAGTTACTGGGTCATTTGTTCCTGCTATTGGAGGGCCATTTTCTGCCCTGACACCAAGTATGTGGCCACAAGACATTCTGTCTAGAATACAACAGGTACATCTATCTTTATGATACTTCTAAGATCTAGCATGTTTATTTGTATAAATCAAAATTTTCATTTTGTTTGAAATAAAAACTGAAACTTAACCAGAAAATGATATGTCATAAAGGAGCACACTGTACATGTACATGAATTGTGTAAGCTGAATTGGAGTTACTTAAATTAATTATTATTTAAATATTCAGTGTCAATCTAATTGATCAGTTATTATTATCACTTATTATTCATCATTATTATTGATGTTTTTTCATCATCTTTATTATAATTATTGATCCAATATCATTGATGTTTCAGACTGAGGATTCAGGAAATAGACCTGAGGGACAGTATGATGAGTTTGGTTTTATAATTGACGGAGGTGAGTGTCCGCAGCATTGTCATTGAAGGTCTTATTGCAGAACATTTATGATGCTTATAATGTTCAAAAATTGTACAGTTTACAAATAATATTGTATGTGGTTCTGTACATTTGTACAACGACTTCTAACTTCTACAACGACCCTAAGAAGGAAAGAAATATTGATTCAGGTTATTAGTACAGTCAGTTGAATATAGGATAAGATCTCAAGTGGCTACTGTACATGCAAAGAATGTCTAGAATGTTACAAGTGTTTTTGTGACTTCAATGTTTGATAAAAATTATACGATGTCATGTACAAACCAAAAAAATCAATTAAAAATAAAGAATTTAATTTGAAGAAGGACTAATATTGGCTTATACCTTCTGATGAAGTCATGTGAAGTTTATAAAGATTTCATGAGATTGTTTACTTCACTATGAACATTCCAGGCACTCATACTTTTATCCAACTGACTGCATTTTCATTGTATTTTCTTATAAGACAGGATGGAAGTATATTCTTGTAAGAAGCAACTGAATTATAATACTGAGTCTAATYAAGCCAAGCTGTTGATTAACAATGATTTTTACAATAATTATTATGTATAAAATGTAAAACAATTCATCAATTTATGAATTTGAGGAGTTATTATCATGATTTCAGATCTTGAACATGAATACAAAGACCCAGATCCAGGCAACTTTGTKACTAATGAAGATGAAGGACTTCGTTTGAAGTGGACAGCATACTTAGAGTTCACACAGAACCAGGACGTTGCTGATATGACATGGGATAAGGTACATAAATATGGTTATTATGACTATGTTACAATAGATTGATAAACAATTAACCTACTGTCTAGTGCGATTTATACTTGAATGTGTCATACAATGATCAATACATGTTATGATTTCTGATTTACTATGTTTGTCAATCTTTCCTGGTGTAGGTGTCACCAACATTTCCTCGTTCAGAGAAGCTAAGAGAGCTTGTTTTCTTGGGTATACCACACAGCATGAGAGCACCTGTAAGCATTTCAGACATGGTTTCTTTTTTTACTTGTACAAACATGTGTGCTATCAGATTTTGAGAGCAGAAATACYAAGTATTTGGTC